TAATAAAAACACATCCTGGGATCTCAGGCAATAGCTACTTGCCACTCTCTGTGAGATCAAAGAGCATATATAAGTTGGTAGTTTACCCAACATGGCTTTATATTATTATTATATATTATAATATTAATATTATTATTATTTGTATTATTGTAAATGACCTTTAATATGTCTAACTATATTTAAAATGAGTTACCTGTTGGAGAAGTGATTATATTTGTATGCCAATATTTTCTTATGGTAAAGTTTTCGTTTTGCACTTTTATTTTGATAGTAATAAGATCAGGACTCTTATTTTGTAGGAACTTTTACCGGAAGTCAATGGACAACGAAGCAGTGCATGACGGATAGATGACGAATAAATTAACATAATACTAAATAGTTGCATTCGGTTTTTAGTACCTGGCTGATAAGGGCCCAAGCTCTTACGTTGGTAATGATCGTATACAAGCAAGGGTGTGCAATAAACAGATACCATCAGTTAGAGAGTCTGACCATCATTCAGCCGGTGACGCTACAATTATTATTGTTAATGTTTAAATCCTATCAATAAAGACCCAAAAGAAAGGACGTATTATTGGCTTCCCCTAATTTTTTCCCCACGCCACGCTACTGATAGAGCTCAGTTTATAACTCGAACCCTGTTCGTGGATATATGTGTTGAAATGTAGCTGCTCCTCTACATTGCTTTTATCCTGTCATGTTATACTAATGTGTCTATTGAACTGCTGTGAAGTGAGTTACAATTCTTGTAATATGCTATTACTAATATTAATATATATTTTTGTTTTATTATTGTAAATTACCTTTAATATTTCTAACTAAATTTAAAATGAGTTACTTTTTAGAGAAGTGATTATATTTGTATGCCAATATTTTCTTATGGTAAAGTTTTCGTTTTGCACTTTTATTTTGATAGTAATAAGATTGGGACTCTTATTTTGAAGGAACCTTTACCGTAAGTCAATGGTCAACGGAGCAGTGTAAACACACATTTATAATGGAGAATAAATTAACATATACTAAATAGTTGCATTCCGTTTTTAGCACATGGCTGATAAGGGTGCAAGCTCTTACGTTGGTAATGATTGTATACAAGCAAGGGTGTGCAATAAACAGATACCATCAGTTAGAGAGTCTGACCATCATTCAGCCGGTGACGCTACAATTATTATTGTTAATGTTTAAATCCTATCAATAAAGATTAAGCCCCAGAAGCAAATGACGACAGTGTCACACTCTAATCAGCTAATTAACAATTTAAAAAAAACCTGCAAAGGTATCCTGAGCCTTCAAATATTCTTTCAATCTGGTTCAGTAGGCAACACAATCATGGGGAAGATTGCTGACCTGACAGTTGCGTGCGTCTCCATTGAAATGAATGGAAAGGCGCGCGCAAAAACGCTCGTAGGGCGAAAAGAAAAGCTCCCGCAGTTTCATGTCGGAACTCCACAGTGGGACACACACCGGAAGTAAGCACCACAAGCTTTTAACTCTACGCGGTTGTTTGAATTACTGTAAACACATATGGTCATTTCCGGCGCCATTAAACAATAATGATGTCTGCAGTTCCGAGTTTGAGAGAGTTTGTCAACGAGAGACTGACTGCTGCTGCTGAAGAAATATTGGGAGTTTTTGAAAGAACTATCGTCGAGTACGAGGAAGAGATTGATCGTCAGCGCAGACTGTTGAACATCTTACCCACAATAAAGTTACACAGGATAGGTGAGTAAACGTTTGTTTTAATAAACAATACAAAACTTAGGTCATCTATTTATAACTAATATTAATCGTTAAGAAGATATACTTGTTCTTATTGGTTTGTTTCCTAACCTTTACAATAGTGTATTATGTATTCTCTTTTCTGTTTCTCCAGAGCTCCCTCAGCAACATGTCTGTAAGGAGGAGGAGGAGGTTTTCTCTGAGCAGCAGCTCTGCATTCAGGAGAACGACTCCGGTCTGGACCAAGAGGACCCAGAGCCTCCACAGATAAAAGAGGAACAAGCGGAGCTGTGCAGCAGTGCAGAGCAGCTTGTACTGAAGCAGGAGACTGATGACTTTATGTTGACTCCGACTTATATGGAAAGTGATCACACTCAGCAGTGTAATATAGCATCAGAAGAAGGGATGGTATACTCAAACAGTGACCACCAGCTCCTCTCTCACAACTCTCCACTAGCTGAGAGCCAAAGATCAGAAAGTTGGGCAAGCATGGAGACTCAGGATCAACTCACGCAGAGCCAGAAGTAAACCAGAGAGATAACATTATTCAAAGTCAAAGCTACAATGTTAACAGCACAACTAAGTCAATATTTGATCAATTTAAATGTGACATATGTGACAAAGGATTTTAAGTACAAGTATAAATTGCAGAGTCACCTGAGAGTCCACACAGGTGAGAAGCCATATCTTGCAAAATGTGTGGGAAAGACTTCAGAGGTAAATGTGACTTAACCATCCACCTGAGAGTCCACACAGGTGAGAAGCCATATTTTTGCAAAATATGTGGGAAAGGCTTCAAACGTAAATGTAACTTAACCCTCCACCTGAGAATCCACACAGGTGAGAAGCCGTACGATTGCAAGACCTGTGGGAAAGGATTCAATTATATATCCACATTGAAGAGTCATCTAAGAACCCACACAGGAGAAAAGCCATTTTCTTGCCAAACATGTGGAAAACAATTCAGTCACTTAACATCCTTTACTATTCACAGTAGAACCCACACAGGTGAAAAGCCATATTCCTGTGAAACATGTGGCAAAGGATTCAAATGTAGTAGTGAGTTAAAAGTCCACATAAGAACCCACACAGGTGAGAAGCCTTTTACTTGCCAAACATGTGGAAAACAATTCAGACACTTAACATCCTTGACTGTTCACAGTAGAACCCACACAGGTGAGAAGCCATATTCCTGTAAAACATGTGGCAAAGGATTCAAATGTAGTAGTGAGTTGAAAGTCCACATAAGAAGCCACACGGGTGAGAAGCCGTACCTTTGCAAGTACTGCGGACAAAGATTCAGTAACAATTCAGCAATGACAAGGCATTCAATAATCCACACAGGTTAAAAGCTGTGTATTTGCAAAATATGTTGGAGAGTTTTCAGACAGAGCATTGGTTTGTTGAGCCACATCAAAAAAGTCCAGACTGGTCACACACCTGAGGATCAATACAGGAGAAACCATCCAGCTAAAACTGCTGTGGGAAAATGTTCACAAACATAATGAAATCCAGTTTGCAGAAGCTACTTCTCTTTAACACAACATGTTTTAAAGGTCACCTATTGTGCAAAATCCACTTTTTCATATCTTTAATACATAAACATGTGTCCCCTCTGTGTAAAGAGATTCTGAAAGTTTCAGTTAAAAAGATTCAATATTTGTAAATGTTCCCTTCATTTGACTGTTCTACTTACACTGATCAGCCATAACATTATGACCAACTGCCTAATATTATGTAGGTCCCCCTTTTGTGGGGCTCCACCAGACCTCTGAAGGTGTGCAAGGTACGGACCACTGCAGACCAGGATTACCCCACAAGAGCAGCCGTTTCGGAGATGCTCTGCCCAAGTCGTCTAGCCATCACAATTTGTCAAAATCGCTCACATCCTTACGCTTGCCCATTCTTCCAAAACTTCAACTTGAGGACAAAGTGTTCACTTGCTACCTTAAATATCACACCCACTGACAGGTGCCATTGTAACAAGATAATCAATGTTATTCACATCACCTGTCAGTGGTCATAATGTTATGGCTGATCAGTGTATACCTTACTTTATATATTACTTAATTGCATAATTTAGGGTAAATGTTAGTTCCACAGTAGTGACTGTAGAAACAATGGTGTGATCTTGATGGATGCTGCTTTTGTCTGAATGTTTATTGATGAAGCAGCTTTGAATGTATTTTTTATAAAAGTGCAAAAAGGACATTCAACCCATTTCTATCAAACAACAAAATAACATGAAAAGTTATGCATTTGTAATGCCATCATCTGCTAGTGTTTTGAAAGTGTTTGTGGTAGGAGTGATTATATGCTCCTCTTGGATTTTGAATAAAATAATTGAGGCAGGTTTGCCGTGTTTTTATATTTGCATTTTGCAAAAAATGTGGTTTAGAGCAGAAAATGCACTGTTAATCTTATTTTCTGATGTTGCTGAAGTATAGCTGAACCAAAAACTGTAAAATCTAGTTGAGTTGACAAATTGAATTATTGGGACACATTCTAAAAGATGTAGAGACTGTACATCCTGTCAAAAATGTAAACATAGCCTAAATACTGTGTTCATTTATTTGATAATACAGTTAATATACAGCCATATATCAGTAGTACTAAAATATAAGTATTGGAAGATGTCTGCTGTTTCACTAAGCAAGTGATCCATTGAGACAGGTTACAATTTTGTTAAAGGTACAAATAAAAAAGTAAATTATCCAGATTCTGACCAAAGTCTGGCTGTTGTGGGCGAAGTAATAGATACAATATGTAGGTCTAGTAATACAATTGAAAGCGTTACATTAACTTTGCAAGGTAGAAATTACGGTAGTTTGCAATGCCAGACCTATGTCCCTTTATCTGAGTGAAATAATGATAAATTAGAGAAAAAATCTGTTCCAAGAAAAAGTACTGTGTCCATCCCTTTATGACCACAGTGTACTACCCATCTTCTGATGGCTACTTCCAGCAGGATAACGGGCCATGTCACAAAGCTCAAATTATCTCTAACTGCTTGTGCAGCTGACAAATCTGCTGCAACTGCCTGATGCTATCATGTCGATATGGACCAAAATCTGGTATAGTCTATGCCATGAAGGATTAAGGCTGTTCTGAATGCAAAAAGGGGTCCAACCCGGTGATAACAAGGTGAAATAACCTCCATTTTGCCTTCAGAACTGCCTTAATTATTCATGGCATAGAATCAACAGGGTGCTGGAATCATTCCTCTGAGATTTTGGTCCATATTAACATGCTGTGGAGGCACAGAAGGATCAGGAGCCCTGCCCTTTTGTTTTAGACAGGGCAGATGTGTAAACCCTTTAAAAGGGTTAACCCACACAAGGCTCCTGGAACTGATGGCATCCCTGGCCGTGTTCTCAGGGTGTGTGCAGTTCAGCTGGCAGAGGTGTTCACAGACAAATCTTCAACAGGTCCTTGCTACAGTCTAGTCCCCACATGCTTCAAACACTCCACCATCGTTCCTGTCCCCAAAAAGTCATAAATCACCAGCCTCAACGATAAGACTCCAGGATACTCTGCAACTTCTGCAGGTGCACCATAGAGAGCATCCTGACTGGCTGCATCACGGCCTGGTTCAGCAGCTGCACCGCCCTCAATCGTAAGGCTTTACAGAGGGTGGTGAAAACTGCACAGCACATCACCAGGATGGAGCTCCCATCCATGGAGGATCTTTACTCCCAGCGGCTCAGGAAGAAAGCCCACAGGACTATAAAAGACACCCACCACCCCAGCCACAAACTGTTCTGTCTGCTGCCGTCTGGCAGGCTGTACCGCAGCATCCGGACTAAAACCACCAGACTCAGGGACAGTTTCATAAGACTGCTAAACGCCTGAACCTTTGAAAGAACATACATAACGGTCATTGTATGTTTTGGTCATTGGATTTTCTTTTCACAAAAGGATATTCAAAAACAAAAAACGACTGGATATTTGATTTTCGTTTTCAAATTCAAAAACCAAAATTGAATTACAAGGCGTTTTTCTTTATCATGGTCAAAAATGGATTTACTAAACTTAAAAAACGGGATGATTTTCATTTTCTACTTCTCAAAACTAAAAATAAAATCACTAGAAAACAGAAACAAATAAAACCCCGTTTTTTCATATTCTGCTACCGGAAGTTGTCTTTCAAAATAAGAGCGCAGATGAGGACGGTCAATCCGTGTATCTACGGTCCATTTGTTTTCACAACGAAAACAGCAAAGACACATATTGAGCCCAGAAAATGAATGTTATTAAGGGCTGGAAATATAATAGGCCTGTGTCTAAAATGGACAACATTGTTTGGAGATTTCAACTAACAGCGATTCTGCACTGCGGTCAACTCAGCCGTCTCTCGAGTTTGTTATTTTTTTCTTCTGCCAATAGTTATTCGTGAGATCGATCCTGTTGGACTCAGTAGGCTAGTAGTGAAACTACTCCCACAACAAGTACTATGAAGTAGCCTACTTACTGTGTACTTTTTGAGTAATCCTCTGTCAATATCCCCTCCTGAGAACAAGAATGCATGTTTCTCTGCTATTTTGAATCAGCGTTAAAACACCTTTCTTCATGAGACTGATATTGTTGCACAAAGTATTTGAAGAGGATATATGGTAGACTTGATATCAGCAATACTTCCAGTCAGTAGTCCGGCAGCTTCTTTTTTTTTTACTCCTTGGAAAGTCTTGCCCGCTATATAAATTGACTTTGATTGAAGTTAATAACAATATTGATATTATATATATAGATATAGCATATTTGATGCAGTCTTTCTGAACACTTTTAAAATAAAATACTGCAAATTAAGAATATGTGTAATAGTGCCTTATCCCTCTATGGCATGAATTTTTATTTCGGGAGGAAAAAAATGTTTCGCCATGTGTTTTAGGAGCTTAGGGGTCCCTGATATTATATCAATTATAAAATGTGACCCCCTCCCCCACACCCCTCAACCAGGGGTTGGTTTGTTGCCTCAGGGCAACAATGATATAATACGAGGTTATTGAAACACCAAGGATTTCTACAATTCAGAAGAAATAGAAAAAACAACTCTACATATCTCTCCTGATTGTTGGCACTTGACAATCACCTTCCCTGAATTTTACTCAGGTGTAACTAAAGTCTGCTTTAAGGGTTGTTTATATTTCACATCATTAATCAGAATTTGCAAAGTAACTAAAATAAATGTAGTGGAGTAAAAATACCAGGTTAACCTCTGAATTGTAGTGGAGTAGAATTACAAAGTAACAACGAGCTGTCATGTGGGTATGCTGCGCATTATGGACACAAGCGATTTTCACCCATTTAGTAAATACATGTTTTAAATTTGTACACACCAATGTGTTTCCTATCGCCTAAACCTCCAGGGCTGTACACAGTTTAATACTGTCAATTTATAATTTTGGGGAAAAAGAAAACGTCTTTTAAAACTACAATTCCCAGTAGAGACGTGCCATAGAGAACATGTTGCGAAACACAAAAGCCAGCATCTTTATATAAAAGGTTTGCGAAACACAATAGCCAGCGTGTGTAGTCTCGGGGGGCGTTCGATTAGTAGAGAATAACGAGTAATTAATATACTTTATAGAGATCTGCAGATTTAGTCTTCTCAAGCACCAACTATCACATATCTCTCCTGATTGTTGGCACTTGACAATCACCTTCCCTGAATTTTACTCCGGTGTAACTAAAGTCTGCTTTAAGGGTTGTTTATATTTCACATAATTAATCAGTTTTTTTTCGGATATCATAACGCATTAACAACACCACATCTTGCTTCACATAGATCTTCTGTTACTGTCCTTTCTTCTTAGAGGTATACAGAAACACGTAACTCTGGATTTGTTTTAATGTTTGAGGTGCAATAAACGACATAGCAGCTTTTTGGCATGTTAAAACTGTTATTTTCTGCCTCGTCATTGAGAGTAACAGCTGGCGAAATTACAGCCTCGTCTTCTGATTTCAAATGTGTGCTCTAAAATCATATTTATAAATGACTATTATCATTATTATAATCAAGACAATAAATGACAAAGATATGTATAAAATAAACATATTTAAGATACGTTCATAAGAAACGTAACGTGGGAGAAAATATGTTTCTAGAAGTGAACGTATTTGAGATACGTTCATAACGAACGTAACGTGGGAGAAAATACGTTTCTCGCTAAACGTAATTGAGAATGCAGTTTAGCTCTGTGGGAACGTAATATTTAGGAGACAGGGTTGCGGGAGGGGACATTGACAGAGGATTACTCAAAAAGTACACAGTAAGTACTTCATAGTACTTGTTGTGGGAGTAGTTTCACCACTAGCCTACTGAGTCCAACAGGGTCGATCTCACGAATAACTATTGGCAGAAAAAATAATAACAA